CCCCCCCCACCCCGCCCGTTGTGGAGACGGAAGAGCCAGGGGGAAGCCTGAGGCATTGGGCCTGTGCCGGCCAGTTCTGTCTGATGAGAACCTGTCTGACCGTGGCCGCTACGTCCATGGCCTGTGAGCTCCGTGGCATTGAAATGGACTCCCAGGGCCTGTAGATGAGCCAGTTTCTGACTGCCCAGGGGACGTGAGCATCAGCTCAAAACTTGGGCGAACAGCGAGCTCCTGGCCGGGTGCTGCCCGTCCCTCTGCTCCGTCGGCCACTGCAGATTAAGATTAAAAGGGCTTTTGCCCACAGTGGAATCTTAACTGCAAAAGTGGCATCTGTAAGACGTAGGTTGGCAGAAATGATGATGTCATCTCCCTGTTCCCGTAGCTTAGGGCCCGTAGACCCGATGGCCTGGCCCACACCTGCTCCCTCTCCAGCGGGAGGCCTCCCTGTGTGTCTGTCCAACCGGAAGGTCACTCTCCACCGCACGTGCTCTTTGTCTCCACCCCTCACCCCCACCCCGAAGTAGGAGCAGTGTCTCCCGTGAGCCCACACGGCACCGTAGACCCCTTTTGAGTCCATGTCACCCTCAGACACATGGAAGGAAGGGGACGTTGTGACTCTGGTGTGTGAGTGACGCTGGATAGTCAACCCCCAATCTGTCATAGGAATGTGGTTGGAGAATTCCTAAAACCCGATTTATCCCACTCTTATGGGATTTAACACGACGTTAACGCATCGCTTGCTTGCCTCGATCCCGTCAGGTGTCTCCTTCGACAAGACCTCAGCCACCTGGCTCGCCCTGTCGAGAATCGCTGGCCTGTGTAACAGGGCCGTGTTTCAGGCCAACCAGGAAAACCTGCCCATCCTGAAGGTACGCCCCGGAGTGCCCCTTAGGCTGGGGGTGGGGAGTGGGGGGCGGGTTCCACACAGGGGCCACCTGTGAGTGCTCTTCTCAGGTAGCACGTGGCCTCCATGGCCCGTAAGCACCTGCTCTTGTGGACAGGGATGGTCCAGGCGATGCTTTGCCGTGTGGCACCTTTGCCGCCTGTAGATCCTGAAGCACTTACCGTGCCCGAAGCCCATGAGGGAAAAGCGGATCTACAGTAAAAACTGACGGAAGGAGGGTGGGCGAGGGGAGAGGCCGTCTCCGTGCAAACCCCAGTGATAAAATCCAGTTGTATTATCCTGGTTTCTTAGGCCGTCGCCTCACCTGGCAGGTGGCGGGGTCTGCTCGGGCAGCTCCGTAATCGCGTTTGCATGTTAAGGTGCAGGAGGTTCCAGTAAATCCCTTAAGCCATTTATTTTCTTAGAATAGCCCTGCTGTGTCTTATCTTCTTTGTCCTTAGCTTGCTCACTAATCGTGAGGTGTTGCTGGGATGTCCGGTGAAGACAGTGTCAGGAAGGCAGGAGCTGCACAGGGTCCCCTGGGGACATGGCGGCCCGGGCTGGCTCATCCTGGCTAGGCCACGCCGCCTGCGGCAGCTCTGGGTAGAGACCCAGTGGTCAGAGAGGTGGCGGCCCAGATGGGATGGAGGTGGCTTCTGCTGGGCCAATAAGGCTCTTCCATTTCTTAAAGGAGGGTGTCTTCTCTGATGGGAGCGGGGATAAAACTTCACACATTGTCCCCTCCTGCTTCAAAGAAGAAATTCTCTAGGCTTCCAGCACAGGGACTCCCCAGCACCAAACCTTCCCTGGTTTAAAAGCCCCAGAAGGACAGCTGGAGATGTATCTCCCAGCACGTCAGGGGTCGGGGCCGTGCTAATAATGGTGGTATCAGCGTGTGTTACCTGAGGTGTGGGTTTCAGCTGGAACGCTGGCTGATGGTATTACTGTTGGGGCGGGTAGTGCCTCTCAGTTTGCGTCCGTCAGGCCCGGATATCTGCCCGCAGCCGTTTGGAATACAAAGTCCTCCCTTCACCCTTGGCGCGGACCATGCGTTCCCGCTGCCGGGACCCAAGGGGTGTGCTTGCAAACGGGCGGGCAGTGGGAGAGTGTGCTTTCTCACTGGGTCTTTTCAGGCTCGTAACCAGAAATATGAGTCTGGGGACGTGGTGGCTTTGAGACTTCAGCAGGGGAAGATGAATAGGCTCAAGCAGGCTGGGAAGGGTGTGTTTTGCTTCTCCCGAGGGCAGGTGACACCTTCAGACAAAGATGTGGGTGTGGGTGTGGGCGTGTGGGTGTGTGACCGGGCCTGGCAGCCTGCGTCTGAGCTGCTGCTCCTTCCCCGCCCTCCCCTCCTCCCACCGAGATGGGGACACCTTCCTGGTCGTTTTGCCTCGTCCGAGGTGGCGCCTCGGTGCAGCGTTTTCGGGGAACCTGACAGGTGCCGTCTGTGTCCACAGCGGGCAGTGGCGGGCGACGCCTCGGAGTCGGCGCTCTTGAAGTGCATCGAGCTGTGCTGTGGGTCCGTGAAGGAGATGAGAGAGCGGTACCCCAAGATCGTAGAGATACCCTTCAACTCCACCAACAAGTACCAGGTCTGCAGCTGGGGGAGGGGGGATCGGGCGGTGGGCAAGGGGCAGAGAGGGGACCAAAGAGCCTGTGGAGGAACTCGTCTCCCTCTGGGCGTGTGACGAGCACAATGCCTCCTGGAAGGGAATCGTTCACACTGTTTCTGAAAGCCTTCGCTTGGTATCTTACCGTTGACTACACATAGAAAACCCTAATTTATTTGACTTCCGTAGGATGAGGGACACATTTCCTTCAGGGGAATGTTGTCTGTCGACACATGTCATTGATGTGTGACTGTGTCACCCTGCTGGCCTTTTCTGTAGAATTCAGAACATGTTAGGTGTGAGGCAGGTTCAGACGTAAGAGGTCTTGGTTTTTTGCCGTAACAAATACTAACTGGTAAGGGAGCTCCATTCTCCTCCAGGAGCGCCTCAACCTTTCATCTGAACAACCCTTCCCTTCCAGTTGTCCATTCACAAGAACCCCAACACGGCCGAGCCCCGGCACCTGCTGGTGATGAAGGGGGCCCCCGAGAGGATCCTGGACCGCTGCAGCTCCATCCTGCTCCAGGGCAAGGAGCAGCCGCTGGACGAGGAGATGAAGGACGCCTTCCAGAACGCCTACCTGGAGCTGGGCGGCCTGGGCGAGCGCGTGCTGGGTAGGTGCGGCACCTGGGGACAAAGCGAGGCACCACCCTGGACCCCCCCCCAGCCCGCCCGTTGTGGAGACGGGAAGAGCCAGGGGGAGCCTGAGGCATTGGGCCTGGGCAGCGAAGTCCCGCTGGCTTGCTTCCGACTCGTATTTGGGCCCTTGGTGCTGTGCCGGCCAGTTCTGTCTGATGAGAACCTGTCTGACCGTGGCTGCTGCGTCCATGGCCTGTGAGCTCAGCGGCATTGAAATGGACTCCCAGGGCCTGTAGATGAGCCAGTTTCTGACTGCCCAGGGGACGTGAGCATCAGCTCAAAACTTGGGCGAACAGCGAGCTGCTGGCCGGGTGCTGCCCGTCCCTCTGCTCCGTCGGCCACTGCAGATTAAGATTAAAAGGGCTTTTGCCCACAGTGGAGTCTTAACTGCAAAAGTGGCATCTGCTGGGCAGACCATCTGCACTGCGTTACCCCCAGCAGCCAGCAGGGCGGCCCGCTCCGCCCTCCCTGGTGTCTGGTTGGTGTGAACAAATGGTGAGCAGAGATGTGGCCTCTCTCCAGCGAGGGAAGCCGAGACATCATTCCACCATGTGCCAGGTCTGAGGCAGAGTGGGCAGGTCGGAAACCCTGAACCCGGCGCTCAGCCCGCGCCGTCAGCGCCCTCTCCACACTGAACAGTGCCTCTGCCTCGCAGGCCTGGTTTTCCTTTCATTCATGTACGTTCCACGAACCCTTCGTGCTGTTCTAAAGCTACACTTCCACGAACAGTCCCAGCTAGACACGCAGGGAAGGGTGGACGTGTGAGCATCGCTGCTGCTGCTCCGTCCCCAGCCCTCACCGCTCCCTGCCCCTCACTGCAGGTTTCTGCCACCTCCTCCTGCCGGACGAACAGTTCCCCGAAGGCTTCCAGTTCGACACAGATGATTTGAATTTCCCTGTGGAAAACCTCTGCTTTGTGGGGCTCATCTCCATGATCGACCCACCCCGGGCTGCTGTCCCCGATGCCGTGGGCAAGTGCCGGAGCGCCGGGAT